ATATGTTCTGATCTTTGGGGTGTGAATTATATATCTGCAGAGATTGTTGTGTCGGGAGGAATGTCAATGCCGCAAGTTCTGTCGACGCTTGATATGAGAATGGCTCCAGAAAGAAGTAGAAGTGGAACTAGTAGAGTTGAAAGAAACTGAAGATTAGTCTTTGCATAAACAAACAGATTCTTAAATCTTTTTTTTTATCATGTCTTCTTCTTTTGGATTCAGTTAATCTCACATTTGATGTTAAAGCATTAGAAAGCAATGGTGTTTTAGAAGTGTTTGTTCATGAGACCAAGTCCATTTCTGTCAAAACTGTTTGTGTCTATATCCTAGACTCTCATACTCCCTAGTAAGCTGTAAAATATATTTCTTTACTCCCATATCGTTTTTATTTATTTTAAAAGAATTTCATGGATATTCAATTTCGATTATATGTTGCATTAACTGAAGTTGAAATCTCATACAAGTAACCCAAATTAACCAAAAAGTTGTTTTAGTAATTATCTAATTTATTTTTGATATTCTTATACATGAAATTATTTTGTACACTTATTTGGAATTCGCCGAAGATAAAATTATTATTATTTGCTGTTTCCTAAACCTAGTAGGACTATGACGATTACATTTTTATTTTAAAGAGGGCACAAACTAAAGAACACCCTCTAAGATTCTATCAAATAGAAATTTCTTCTACCGCATATTTTCCTAAACTCGAGTTAAAAAAAAACAAGCATTAGATCAAAACACAAAAGATGTCTATGAATCATCTATCGTTTCTCCGATTTCTTTTGGTCTTTAGCCTCATTATGATGGTGAGTAACACAAGCTCATCATACATAACAACCGTGTGGATCAGAAACAAACTGCAAAACCAAAACGATCTCATAGTCCATTGTAAATCCGCAAAAAAGATATGGGATACCATAGGATGCATCCCACTGGATCCTACAATTTACTTTACAAAACCAAAGATTATGACGACGTTGGTATATGGTGTCATCTATGGCAAGGACCTAATTTCAAGCATCACCAAGTGTTTGATGTTTACAATGGCGACGTATGGGAAGCTAGAGAAGATGGAATCTATGATCGATATCCAACTCGCTTTGCAGTTGAGGCCAAGCCAGTGTATGGTTGGGATGTTCCTTTATCAAAAGCTTCTTCGTTGGGATCAAGTTGTATCTCTTTAAGCTTCTTGTTAGTTTCTTCCTTGT